AGACATACAGGAAGGTGATGTTGTAAATAACCTGTATCTACTTTTCCTGTAAACATGAAATTTGGACCTGGCCCCTCTACCACTCAGGATTCCTAGATTCATGTGGTCATCAAAGGGTTGCTGAGGAGGCTGAGGAGAAAGTTGTGTAGCCAAGCTCATCTTTTTACAAAAAGTCAAGATTAACATATAACTTCAGCTATCAATATTATCAATATTAGGGATGCACCGAAATTTTGGCCACCGAAACATATCAGCCGAAAATGACACTTTTGGCAAAATGCCAAAAGTGCAGTGCATGCCTGGTTTCTCTCCCCCCTGCTGGGCGCTGCTCTGTGTTCCCACTTACACGGTGCAGCGTCCTGTGGGGAGGAGAGAAACTGTCACAGGGGGCCGAGCAGTGCGGGGGAGGAGAGTGAGGTAAGCGGCTAGCATGTCACAAGAGGCCGGGCTCTCTTCCCACACCGCCTCACTCAGCCTCCTGTTACAGGTCAGGAGAGCGATTAGTGAGTGGTGATAGCTGTGAGCACTGTCACAGGAGGCTGAGCTCTCCTCCCGCACTGTGACAGATTAGGAGAGCGGCGGTGTGGGAGCGGAGAAAGATGTCACAGAAGGCTGGGCCGGCGATGCGGGGGAGGAGTCAGTTGTCACAGGCGTCCGAGATCTCCTCCGCGCACCGCTAGCCCAGCCTCCTGTGACAGCGAGTCAGAATGGAGAGCGGTACAAGCACTCAGCGATCAGTGATCACTGAGTGTTTGTTGACTGTGTCCCCAATTATGAATGAATGGGAAGTGTTCTACATCATTCTGGACATGGTAAACATACTATCTCCACAAGTTATGAATGAACATGAACACTCAGTATAGAGGATTTTTGTTCATTTAAAAAAGGGGCTGCAGAAAAAGAGATTAAAAAAAAATTAAGTTTATATTAAAAAAAAATTACATTTGAAAAGGTTAGAAATAATTTTTTTTCAGTTTCGGCTTGACGTTTTGTTTATTTTCGGTTTTAAAATTTCGGTGCACCGCTAATCAATATCTCTTGATCTTCTGATCACTTTGGCTAAAGGTAATCCCAATGTGTACATTTGTTTTCATCCTTTTCTAGGTTTTTAACAGATATTCTTGAAACGTATTTTTCATTGGGATGTGTTTTCATTGTTTGGCCCATGCCCTGTATTTCCTAATGCCATGGGCATTGCATAGAGTGTGAGCTCAAGGAAATGTAACACAGTCTATGGGATCAGAGAAGAAAGGAAACTAAGCAATGCTATCAGATCTCTTGGACATGAGCTGTAATATGTATGATGTGGAAGGTTCTTGTTTTACAGACTGCATTTGTGTTGTGTGCTGAAGCAAGCACTTGGTTTCTCTATTTCAGCTCATGTTCAGCTCTGTGTATGGTTGAAACATTCAAAGCCAATGACTTATAAATGCTATTTTGTCACTAAATCTCAGCTTCCTGTAAGATTATTTTGAATGTTTCACTCTGGCGTACTCTTTCATCATCTTTAGTACTCAGTCCTCTTATTTCATGAGAGAACTGAAATTGTTCTCTGAATCATGCAGTTACCAGGTAACATTTAACTAAGAAGCAATACATTGCTGGGTGAAGTGAAGACTATTTATTCCCCGGAGATTCTTACACCTACACAATTATCCTTTTCTTACATATATAATAAAGATCATCATAGATGAGAGTTTATTTTGGAGCTGATGACTGTAGCAATCAGTGACAACATGCTGAATATGGCCGGCCACCTTTCTCCACCCACACCAGGGATACTATGTAGGGAACATTCTTGGTATTTTAGAAGGTTTCCATAATGTGGACTTCATTTACTGATACTGTGGGCTCCTTGCTGCCATTTACATACAAAGGTAAAACCAAATAAAACCTGGGATTTTAAATATAGTCAGTTGAATGCCAATATGAAAATAAGTAACTAAGTTTACATTCTACATGTTCCCAATCAATCAGGGTGTCTTAATAGCATGCCGAGATGTGCCAGGAGCTTAGTTGGCAATATGTTGCTACATAATAAGACCTGTGTATGTCTCCTATTGGCCAGGACCACACACATGGTTCCACAATCATTTTTATACCACAGAATGTTAGAAATGATAACAATCTGCGTGTTTACAATGTCAGGTTCTATCGTAAAGCAATAATTGATCAGTAGTATAATACAATTGGATCATATTACTGTAATGTACTTGCATGTTGCCGTCAGCTACCACAATTTATTACATTTATATCATTATAAATAAATGTCAAGTTGTGTTGGAGAAAATGCTTTACAATGAAGCATGATAAAATTCATTTTTTTTCCTGAATATATTCATGCAGATGTTTCCAATCTGTGGACATTCATACAATTTATTAATGATGCTGGTCTAAATTCTAAATTGAAATATTCTCCACATATCGGACAGATATGCATGGAAATGGAGGAAACAAAAATGTTTTTACTTCAACTGAATATTTCAATGCATCTCTTTATGATGTATCGAAAATCAGGCATGTTTACAATGTGATCTATGTTATTACATGAAAAAACATTGAGCTGTAAATGATTCTCTGTACTTCCTTGCTGTACTTAACATGTAGTCACTGCGCTGATCTATGCACGGTCTTACTCAATGAATTTCACCTGTCATGAGGAGTATATAGGCTACCATTGATAACCTTTCCGCTAGTGCCCTGGCTGTTATGGTGATGTACTGGCTTTACTACTTTCTGACTCGCTAACCAAGTGTACAGATCAGGAAACGCAAAGAACAGTTAATGTATTGTTTATCTGCATATAGTAAAGAATATGACAGTCTCCATGTTTCTTTCATAACAAGTTTCCTTTAAAGCCTAACTCTTGGCACGATACACTTAGAGGCCCATTGCTGTAAACTCACACCCCATAATAAGATTTCCCTCCATCTTCCTGCAAATCTTAAGTATATCTGCAGATGGAAGTCCAGCTCCCAATGAACTTCCGTGTCTGCTCTGACTGTAGCTGCATCTCTCATAGACCCCTGTGCTACGGTCGCATTTATGTCTCTTCCTGGCCAATCACAAAGCAAACAGCCTCTGTTTTGTGGTTGGCTGGGAGCAGATGGAGATGTCACCACAGCTTTTAAATCTATGAGGCCTGCAGCTCTACAGCCAGAGCAGGCTCAAATTCATCAGGAGCTGGACTTCCAACCACAGGTTTGTGTAAGATTTGCAGGGAGATAGAGGAAAATCTTATTATGGCATGTGAGTTTACAGTAAAGGCCCTCTACAACATACTGAACTGCAGTAAGTCTATTGTGCCTGAAGTTAGACTTTAAGACTGTGTTGTTACTACAAGAATCTACTGAAGTCAATGCATCATTAAAATCAGTATATGCTGACAATGATTTAACTATCCCTTATTAAAAGCTTATAAAGTGATTCATTGACCCTTATAGCCAGCATCCTGGGATTCCAAGTTCTGGACAGGCAGTCATTAGTAAGATACCTTTCACACCATATATGTTAATACACTTAAGGATCAAGAATAGAGAGAGTGGAAAGTAAGCAACATATGGTACGCAAATGTTTTTATTTAAAATGTAGCTATATTGTAATTAATCTGTCGCGTGTACTAAAGTTACTCGTATATAAATGATGACAATGTCTGCATTGACATGCACAGGTAACATTTGTACAGATATGGATGGCTTTGAATCGCGTCCTTTTCTATGGTCGGTTCTTGTATTTGAGCTCAGCTATGCTAAATGCTTACATCTGTTCTTAGCCCCATTGCTGATTTATTGGTGACATCTGCTCATATTTTGTCTCATAATTATATGTGACCGTAGGTTTTTTTCATACAGGAAACGAATGCATTTACCTATAAATGTGTCCAATCCAAATTCTCACTGGAAGAGTCTTGTAGTGCAGGCAGAAAATGCCATGGGGGCACGCACACAAAGACCTTGTTTACTTGCATTTATATTCAGCTATACCTGCTTCTTTACAGGATTCATTGTTGCATTAAAACATTTATTTAGTTTATATTCAGCTAGCCTTAATTCATCAAATGTTATTGTCAGAACGACTAGGCCTTTTCTAGCCAAATCTGAAACAAGAGCTGCCTGGATCCATATTTCTGAAACAAGAACGGTCTGGGTTGTCCTGTATCCACCATTGATGTTATTCCTCTCATTTTTAAAGCTGCACTGGGAAAAAATGACATTTGCAATGCTATTGGTTGCAGTGGGGTAACACATTCCTTGGCTGTCTGCACAAGTTGAAGGGAATCCTGCTGTTATAATGCTATTTCTTGGAAGCCTGACTGCATACTGATTCCAGGGTTCACCATTAACCGTGAATGTGGTAACAGTCCCTGAACTAGCATACAGCTTGTAAGCTGAAAAATGACACCATCTGTTACATTGTCATTTAGCTTGATGACAGGTACCTGCAATGTATAGCCAGTCCATGGTCCCATCGCACTCCTGACCGCGTGAATCCCTTCAAGAATTGGGTGCTGCGGTAGTCAACGGGTGGCAGCCATAACAATCGTGAACTAAAGCAGAGACACCGGCACTCCAAATTTGCAAAATACGTCTATTTATTGACGTGCATCGTGGTAAAAAACAACGAATGTTTCGGGGTCACAAAGGATCCCCTTCATCAGGTAAAACATACAGTGTTTTACCTGATGAAGGGGATCCTTTGTGACCTCGAAACGTTCGTTGGTCAAAGGATCCCCTTCATCAGGTAAAACATACAGTGTTTTACCTGATGAAGGGGATCCTTTGTGACCCCGAAACGTTTGTTGTTTTTTACCACGATGCACATCAATAAATAGACATATTTTGCAAATTTGGAGTGCCGGTGTCTCTGCTTTAGTTTGCAATGTATAGCCCTCGCCTCACTAACAGAAGGTCCCTCATCTCCTTATTTTGTCATATATAAAGAATGTGACTTCACAGTCTGAGAAATTACGTTCTTTTAATGAAACCTATTTCTTCTTTCAGGTGAACAGGAGCCAGTTATCAGCAGTGACTCGGACATCTCTCTGATTATGGCAGTGGAAGTGGGACTTTCAGATGTGGATCTTTCCACTGACCAAGACTGTGAGGAGGCAAAATCATGAGCAGGTCTGTTGCTGCAGTCCAAAGGAAAGACTAAGGTGATGAAAAGAGTTCCGACTCTGGAGGTTGGACTAGTCCAAAAAAATAAATAAAAACACAAACGTAAAAACCACTCACCATCACCATAAATCTCCAATGCACTCCATTATGGGATGACCATGAGAAGCAATAGCGCCAGGAGCCTGCCGCCTCCAGTACGAATGGATTTTCCATTGTGTTCATATGGGAGCTAGTCTCCAGTCTACAGGCTTCCCTGATGTGGATGGTGGACCTGGAACTAAAGTGAAATCTTTGATGCTGTTTTTAATGAAAATGAGATATAAACTTTATAACCTTTTGTTGTTTACCCAGTTTGAGTGTATTCCAATCGCAAATATCTTGGTTCTGATAGCAAATGTTCTTTTCTACTCCATGGCTTTGCTGCCAAGTCAACAGGAAGAGATTGTGATGGTCATGAGTGAATGCCCTGCCCTTATCTGAAGAAGGCTATGATTACAGCATGGGCATCTGTCCCAGAAGCACTCGAGAAGAAAATGTCTTTAGAGGGCCCTTGCTGGTTGCATGTGATCAGGCATTCCTCATGAACTGCATCAAGAATGCTAGGTACTAAAATTACAATCTGTTGGTTTGAGCCATAAAGGATTATCAGACTTGTGTGAATGAAAATGCACACCATCTATTCACATCTGTATTTTAAAATATGTTGGTCAAAGTGTTTGACTCATAAGATAAAAAAAAAATCCCCATATGCATATTATGCGGGAAACTATCCCTTTCACTCTTATGAAGATGTATACAGTATTGTGCATACACTACAGAGTGGAATACATTTTTCAAGAATAAATATATATTTTTTCAAAAGAAAATATAGCTATTGGTGAATTTTAGAAGAGTGGTAATCCTGGTGCTCTGAATTCCTTTATGATACTACATTGCGCAACGTGACAACATGACATTTAAAGTTGTGATAACACACATGATTTGTTTACAAATGAATGTATGGACTTCAATTACACTGAAACCGACACAATTATAGAAGGTTCTTTGTCTTACTGATTACATGCTTTTATCCTTTTGTATAGCACATGAACACATAGGCAGCTGGAATACGTTTAACAAAGTCCAGATTGAACCATAACACTGAGTTGAAAACCTTTACAATTGGCATACTGTTCAAAGTTTTATAGGTTGTGTAGGTAGTTGGCTGTTCCTGTAAAGCTCATGGCCTGTTCAGTTTGAATATACTGCATGACTGATGTTCTGAGGTAGCTATTGCCCATATGTTGTTATGTTTTATGTTTTCTCACATATTCAACAGATGTCTTCTATTGTAAAGTGCATCTGTACTGTTGTTACAGTGGTTAGTGAAATAGCCTTCAAGTTAACAGACGAGTTGAGGGTTGTTTTTTTTATCTAGTTGTCATGGCAACAGATTATTTTAGACATTGCATGCTGCCTTGTGACTTCACTGGAGTACTAAGTGCAAATAGGGAAAGGCTTGGCAATATATTCAAATAAGCCTTTAGAAAAATGAAATGGATTTGCGGGTAAATGACATTATTAGAGGCCAGGGCTGTAATCAAATGCCCAGCTTCCCAACTATTGGGGGTTTAACACCTCACACAACTCTTACTGAACCAGAACACATACCTGTGGTCAGTAACATTATAGAATATTAGGCAATGGACAACATCTGAAGCAATATAGAAGTGGCTTCACCAGAGTGCAAACACAGCAATTTCATGTAACGCTTTTTTGAAAATGTATGCAAGTAACTCTCTTCCAAAGGAAAAAGACAATGTGATTTAAATGTGACATTTACGTGGCAGGCCATTCCCTCAGAAGACTTCCTTTTTCCCATTGAGCTTTTTCTCAACTCTCGCTGTTAGTACTCCAATCAAGTCATTTCTGTGACCATTTACCTACTGACCAGACCTTGAGATGCATTAAGCACCCAGAAGATGTGCCTTTCACATACAGGTATGTCTTGTGAATATGCCATTTACCCTAAAGTACCTTGGAGAAGTTTGAGTGCTGTGTTTTGAGAGAGCAGTGCCATTTGTTAAAGTGCACATATTAAAAACCATACGAAGGTTTTACCTATACAGTAGCTACATTTGATTCCAAAATTGCCATTGTTTACTTATACCATCTTGCTATAGGACTGTCCCATATCTCCCAAACTCCACCTCCTTCTGTATAGAACCTCAATGCAGTGTGTGTACTATAGCATTGCATTGTGATAAGCACTGCTATTGCAAGTAGAGATTTACAAACGTTTAGTGCTACATAAATATTCAAAGATGTTACTTTGCAGAATTATTTGTTTTGTAACCTAAGGCTGCCCAAATTTTTAAATAGGAGAAATGAAGCTGAAAGCTAGCATTTAAAAAGATACCGACCATTTTAGGACTAAATGTTAGTAGGACTTTGGTATTCATATTAAAAAGCACATTTTAAACTTTCAAACACAGAGGGAAATTTATTAAAACTGGAGCATATAACAACTGGAGCAGCTGTGCATGGTAACCAATCAGTTTTCTCCCTTTCATTTTTTAAATCTTAACTGAACAAACTGAAGAGGGAAGCCGATTAGTTGTCATGCACAGCTGCTCCAGTTTTTGTCTGCTCCAGTTTTGATAAATTCCCCCCACAATTTCTACTGCTCTTTTTACCTTTTAGCCTTACAAACAAACAGTCCAGTGAAATGGCATTTGTATGTATTTATGTAACCCATCTCTTACTGGAAGCATTGTAATCCTTTATACTCTGTAGGATTCTAAGAATAGAGCTGGGTTCTCAGGATAATGTAACTTCTTTGTCCATACGCCGGAGTTACGTAATCAGTAGCCACCCAATATCCGAAGAGGAGCAATGGAGGACCTAGAGAAGTAGAAGAGAAGATGGCTGGGGAAAGAGAGGCTACAATATAGCATACTTGCTTCTATGGCACCCAGTGGCCCTACGTTTAAAACAAAAAGATTATTCACTGTATTTAATTAGATCCTTGAATAGAAGTCTCCATGTAAACAGGTTGTCAGATGCCTGGCTCTTTGAATAGAGTCATATTCATCTGATGTTGTGGAATATGCACATTTGCATGTTATAATGTTGATGAGTTATATATGCTTACCTGCTCATGGTGGATCGTTGGATATTATTGATGTTAGAGTTCCATTAAATTAAGTTGCATCTATAGCAAACCCTGAAGAGAGATTTTGACAACTATAAATCATGCTACTGGCCGACTGCCTTCTACAGGGAGTGGCTGCCATGTGACAGATCAGATATGTTGAATCTTCATATCGTGGTTGCCCATTAAAGTGAATCATATGTACAATTCTCCCTGAGATCAAACAGCCTGCACTAGAGAAATATACATGTAGAAGGCATTTTTATTTGTGTTAAAACTAGCTATGCACCGTAACATATCGGCCGAAAATGGCACTTTTGGCAATATGCCGAAAGTACTATCTTTCAGCGGAAATTGCGGTGCATGCCTACTTTCTCTCCTCCTTGTCTGTTTAGACCCCTGATATTTCACCGAAGCCCCCAGCAGTAAAGGTAAAACATAAAATATTTTTAAAAGGTTGGAAAAATATATTTATAGTATGGATATAAAAAAAAAAGAGTGACTTCCCAGGATTTTTCCAAGCTTGCGGTATTTGAGTTTGCACACACTTGCTGATTTATAGATCTGTGAAATGTTATTTTCTAATTCATGTATTAGAATTGGTGACAGTAGTCATTCACTGGAGATTCCCCTTAATATTTCTATGTATTCACCAAAATATATTACTACAGTAATGGTATTCTTGAAAAACATCAATGTAGTCTTGTGTAGGAATATTTGACTTAAAGAAGAACTATGAGGTGAGTGATTTCCACTTAGTTAGAGCAGACCTGTGAGAAAGAAGCTGTCACAGGTTCGGCCCTATCGATCAGGAAGTGAGCAGAAACATGCCCCAATCCGCTCACTTCCCGATCGTCTCCATCCAGTGAGCGGTGACTGTCAGTCACTGCTCCCCGCAGGGCTTCCCCCCCCCCCTTTCCTCTCTGATCCTCCAGCGTTGAGTGGAGGAATGAACGGGGGAGGGGGCGGGCACAGCTGGTTCTGCCTCTACATAGGCAAAGCCAGCTGTCACTCACGCAGCTAAGTGGATCTCGACAGTAATGACGGGATCTGTCCCGGCTGCGGCGGTCTCAGTATATCACCGACTGAGCTTTGGGTCCCGGGAGGATGCTAGTATATGTCCTCCTGTGGCTCTAAAGAGAACTATGGGGAAAAACATTTACCCCATAGTTCTCTTTTAAACCCTAGTTATAAACATTATCAATGCAAATAATGCTGGTACTAGTGATCCTAAAATATTTTACACTTAAGACAGGTTTATGTTTTTGACTTGTAATAAGGCCTAGATGTAGATATATGAATGCCTAGGCTCTAAATTTAAAAAAAAGAAGCAGCTAGCACCATTTTTCTTTAGGAGAATGAGGGAGTTAAAAAAAAAAAATGACTGGTTGCCGGAAATCCTAATTTAGCTAAAAATATTACGTATTTTTTTAAGATGCAATTACACCATTTCCAAAATCGGTATAGATCTGAAATAATCAGCATATAATTGTGTCTGATGTAAAAAAACAAGAGAAAGAGGCGCCTTTCCCTTGTGTGATATTGTATAATAAAGGAACTTTTATTGTATAAAAACATCCATATACTCAGAAAATACTTGAATTCAAGTGGATCCGTAGACCACATCACTAAACTTTCCCATTATGAAAGCCAGGAGGAAGCACTGACAAGAGAACCAGTTCCCATGCAGCAGCTGCCCAGACTTGCAAACAGTTTTGGCTGAACGTGTTTTCTGGGACACACCCCCTTCCTTGGAGCCTGTTTCTGATGTTGGGTCATATTGCATTGTAACTTATGTCTGGCTGACATCACAAGTCGGGCTAGCTGGTATGTGGAGGATTCCAGGAATGCGAGAGACTGAAGAGCTGGCTTTTTTAGTGTATTTTTTTTTATTTCTTAGTTCTGACTCCCCTGTACCTTCAGATTTATTTACAGACACCGTGC